GATAACAATCGTACTTGTCTGCCGACTCCCTCAGCAAAAGTGTTCGGAGAGATGCAGCATTCGATGCAATAGTCCGATTACATTATAGCACGCAGAGCGAAGAAGGTTAGTCTCTTGTGTCGTGGGTGGGGAGGTTTTCCGGGTTTCACGTTTAATCTGATCGACGTCCTGATTCCGTGACCGAGATTAGATGGCCACTGCTTAACGGTAGAGGCTAGCTCCTGACGTCGCCGAGAAGAGCACATACCGATGTACGGCAGAGACTGGGGAGGCGCTATTGACTGTTTGATAGCAGAAGAAGTGGCTTAGGTTACTCCCTTGTTCCTTGCTAGGGAAACAAGAAAGCCGCCCATACACACATTAATGTGCGTACTGCGTAGCCGTTTGTACTTGGCCACCATTAGTGGTGTACACCCTATCACCGCGGTGAGGTGGTACATGATAAGGAACGCTTCTGATGGTATTCGCAAATATTATTAATGCCCTTCAATCACTGAGAGCGATTGTACTGTGGAAACACCTCGCTATCAATCTTTATCTGACATTATCATGTCGTAATACCCACCATGGGGCTGTGTTCATACATTGAAATTCGGGAGAGTCGACCTTGAAGGAGATTCGAGGTTTCAGGAGAATGTGCGAAAAGGAAGTATATTCATCAGTCAGCACTGGTTGGTGTAGTTTTGGGAGTTCGGCTTCGAGAAGAATGTGTTGATTCCTCTAAAACACCAGGAATCGGTGCCAAAGCACCGGGAGCGGGCACAAGGCAAGACTATGCCGCACCCTCTGTCTGTTATTTGCGATCTGCTGAACCTGAGCCTAGGGAAGGAAGTCTTTCAGCCAAACAGAGCGCTAAAATTTGTGCCGAAAAATGAGTGCTATACTCGTGGGCAGGTTCTTGTTTGTTCCCAAATCCAAATTTATAACGAATTTGGTGAGGAATATAAAGGCAGGTGCCGAACTTCCAAGGTGGGTGCCGAATATGGTTGGAAAGGAGACATTCTTTCGTCAAACAACCGAAATGTAATATTGTTCAGTTCAGTTTCGGTAACTTCTCCTGCTTCCGAATATTGTGCTTCCGATATCTCCACGAGGATTTACGTGTTTTACAACACGCCGACTCGAAACCAGTCGCTCAGCCATCATAGCAAAAACCGCAAAGTATGAACGCACTGTCATTGTGAACCAGCTACTATGGGCGTTCATAGGAGCGAACAGATTATAAGAAGGAGTAGGAGTAGGAATAGGGGTGAATGCCGCTCATACGAATTCGCTTGCTAGTTGGCGACGGTGTACTTGCCATTAGGTCTCCTGGCCCACACTGAACAAATCATAACTTTTATTCTTTAGTTTTGATGAACTAAGTTTATATCCTGACATTCATAACTTGAACACTAGTTTTTTTTTGACGGAGAAAAACGTTTTCTCACAAATTCAGGTGGTTCAGTTATTTGCTTATTGTTAATCCTCGCTTTTTACTTATAGGAGTGGCGTCAATCCCAACTCTTATAGGCCTTTATTCCGCGATCGTCGGGATGAGGCCGCTCGCGGGACTTCTTCGGCACATCGACGTGACTCTCCTGCCAAATCTAAGTCGTCTGATTGTGACGATGAAGACATGCTGGAAATAAGGTATAGATCATTTTTCTGTGGAGATTTCTGCACTTTCATTCCCTCGCCTGATCATTGGTAGAGCTCATAGACGAAATGCACAGTGACTCTTTGTCAGCTTGAATGATTCGTCGCGGTGGGATTTCTGCAGGTGGTGGAATGAGCGTAAAGGTTGACGGTTTGGGTGCGAAAATGAAATTAAATAAGAAATTCTGTGAAATTGCTTAGACGCTGGAATGGACACAAACCGGAGGGGCCACTCCTGCACTCTCCTCCTCTCCCCTCTTTTGATGTTTAGCGCCGAGGAAGACAACGACTTAATGGCCGATTTGTCAGCTTCAATTCATGAACTGCTAATCCAGTTGAGTTTGCAGATCGAGTATGTCTGAGTCGGAGAAAGAACGAATTGAAATAGAAAACCGAAAACGTCGAATAAATCGGACCAAAAAGATGGTGCGGTAAGTGGTATTTTTGCTTAATCTCCTGTTTTGTGTACTCCGATAAAATTTTCCCTTTTGTTTGGACAGATTATTCCTTATAGATGAGGAAGCTATCATCGGTATTTTTTTAGGGAGAATCGCGCTAAAATGAAGGATTCCGTTGTTGATTCAGATGAAGAAGAAAAGGTGAGCTTTCAATTGTATCATCTCCACTGTTCCCAGCACAATCTTCTCCTTTTCAGAAAGAAATCGCTCGTAAAATAAAGCTAAAAATGAAGAAAGCCCTTCGTCAGACTGTAGAGGAAATGAAGGAGGAGGAAGAGGAGAAGAGAAAAGAGGTGGAGAAAGAGAGACGTGTACGTTTTGGAATTTTTTTACACTCTATGGTAACGTAAAGGCTTCACTATGAGTTGAGGGAAACGGGTGGTATACAGTACCCCAACCAGCGCGTAAAACTGGGTGCGCAGAAGCAGCAAGTACACCCGGCACCACTCAGTTTTCTCCTAGGCAGCCCTTGGCTCTGAGTGTATAGCAAGAATGTCGCTCTCGTTTCCTGGCACAGAGCTTTCTCCCCCTCCCCGTCCCGGATAACGCTACGCCTAACCATGGGCCCTCACAGAGCTGACACGTCTAATTTTAGTTATTTTCGGGGGTGCTATACCTGGGCATCCACGAAGCTGCCAAATCTGGTCTTAGGCGCAGTCCCTGGGGTACCGTATCCGGGAGCCAATCTAGCGGCTTAGAGTATGCTCAAATGTGTGCGTTCACGGAGCCAACCCACCGAAAAATCCTACGCGCATTTTTTGGGGTACCGTATCCTGCCTGTTTTCTTAAGCTTGAGAGGCAGAGCACCAGCATCGCATAACCCAGATACACTCGTCTTAACTTCGTTGTATTGGTCTAGATACGCGATGAAATTCTCTACGTGGAAGAGCTGGAGCGTAGAGAGAGAGAACGAGAACGCAGACGTGAAAGAAGAAAACTAGAAGAAAAGCTACGAAAAGAAGAAGAGGAAAGGGAAAAGGAGCGAAGACGTCATCGTAGCAGAAGTCGAAGTCGCGACAGAAGAAGAGACGAGAGAAGAGACCCAAGAAGAGACCATGACTCTCGATGAAGATATTGATTGTATGGATAGATAGTATAAACGAGTTGATCGCAGCTTTTCTCCCTCTCTCTATGACGGCACATAAATCTTTAATTGTTGCAATAGAAAAGCACATAAATTAGGATTCAATTCATTTATACAATCACAAAGCCAAAACTCATTCGAAGAAAACAAACACTAGCAAATGTAGACGTCGATTACTTGACCTCAGTAATGGGCAACATGGCGTTTTGGAAACGAAAGGGGATAATGTCGGGATGGGACGAATAGCTCTACAATGTGTCGGCTAGTTCTCTAGAAAGGCGGGAATCAACGAAAAAAGGAAGTCCACGGGACGATTATGAGATTGCTCGTTGCGCCGACACAAGAGATGCACGTATATAGTGTACAGGTATGTGCAGTGTTTCCAGGCTGCGTTCATACTTTGCGGCAGCGCTCACAATCGACTCGGATGGTGAGGATATCGATCTAGCGAACGCCAGCGTCCACCAACGTCCAGAGAGCATGGGAAAGTAGGAGCACAGCTGGATTAAGAGTCGTGAAATTGCGGCATGTGCAACAGCACCGTGCAATTACTAAAGCACAGAGTTATGCAATTTAATGTACTGTATTGTACTGTGGTACGTCGCGGCTGCACACACCGCAATTTCCCGACGCCTGATCCAGCTGTCTGCTCTCTCTTACTTCCCGATACACTCCACTCCTGGACACGAATGGACGATGCTGCAATGTATGAACGCAGCCTTATACGTATACGCATCTCCTTTACCAAGTGGGGGTAACCATTTCAAATCCTAGTCCTAACTTAAAGCTTTTGTATAGTCGAGACTAGAAGCAATGATGGGATGCGTGCAAAGCATTTCAGTACATCGAAGAAGGAAACAGAAGAATGGATAATAAAAACAAAACAGTGATGATGACAATCCCTTTAACGACTAAGGTTCCAATTTCAAATCGTCGGGAACTGCCTAGGAACCGGGTTTCAATCAGAATCAGTACCCATTCTAAAAAAGCGACCACACCATGGTTTCTTGGACTAAATTATTTGAGATTTGACATATGAACGAAGAGTAAGGGAGCGTTCATACTTCGCGTCAGCGTTGTGAGCATTTCGATCTTGCGGCAGCGCACTGAGCGACTAGCGAAACACAGGATCCGCCTACACTAGCGTTTTCAGCCGCGCGAAACCGCGAAACGCTCAGAATGCTAGATCGATGTTACATTTTCCTAGAGCTACGGACAACTGGAACTCAATCCTTTGAATCGCGTCAACTTTCCGTTTTTCTCTGCGCTCTCATCTTCGCATCACAGTACTATGACCTTACACAGTCCAACTTTCGACCCATGATAAGCGGCACATCCTTCACCGCCTCTCTATTCCTGAAAACTCGTTCCGCGGCTCTCGACATGGTTTTTTGTACTATTCGGAGCCTTGCCGTCCACCAAACCCTATTTCTTTGCGCTCTGGCTTTTCCCACCTTCACTAAAGTTCTGTCATTCAAACGTACGCTGGCGTACGCTTGACCGATACCTATACTTTCCCAGCCGCTCAAGGTGGTGCCTTACGCTCAATACGTTGGCGCAGAGTATGAACGCATTCTAATGGTGTGCTGCAAAATAAATAACATACAATAATTTCCAGGACTATGTGTATGATAACGTAAAAACCTCGTCCAGAATGCTGCACAATCAAAGTTAAAGTCGTCACAAAACAAGGAAAAAAATGTAGAACACTGTAAAATGAAACGAATGAAAAACAGAATGAACACAAACACATATTTCTACCAATGCGCTCAACCGATACATGAATGAGAGAAAAAGTAGCACAGTAGACCACCCATCCATCAAATGCCTACGGTAGTTGCAGTTGTAGGTGAGCAGCTAGACGATCCGCTCGTGGCCACCACTGCCTGAGCGCCAACAGTGAGGTTTGCGTCTCGGCGCACTGCATTTGACGAAAACCCGGGCAACGTTGGGAAACGTATGCCGATGTCTCTTGACATCTTCACGGGTACCTATAACAACACAATTCAGTGTTCTATTGAGCAGTAGAGTGAAACTAAAGTCAAATCCAATGAACCATGCAAACCAGGTAAAACAAAGGAACAAAACCATGCATGGAACAAGTGAACAAGAGAGCTAACTGAACAGCATACGCACAAGTCGAGCAGATTGTGTGCCACGATATTCGGCGCGTGTCATTGTTGTGAAGGTGGAGCAAGCAGGCATGGCGAACTGTGGATGGCGGGCATAGGACTGGACGAAGAGGCTGCTTTACGCGAGAGCTTGCGCGAAGCCGCACGAGCTAGCAACGAGGAAAATGTGCTCTAAAAAAACAAATGAACACAATCACACACTGAGAGGCATACCTAAAATAAAAGCTCAATGCATCTTTTGGTATGCCCAGCGTAAGGCAGCGTACAAACTTCGCGATGACGCGCGTCGACGCGCTACAGTAGCAACAGCGCTCCAATGCTATAGACGCGAACGTGGCTGCAGACAGGAACAGATCGGAATCGATTTATTGAGAGAGTACGGTGGAACAAGAGGATACACATTGCCTGAGGCTGCGTTCAGTTGCAGCAGCGTCAATCAGCATCCGCCAGCGCCAGCGATGAAATGTATAGGTATCGATCTAGCAAAAGCCAGCGTCCAGCATGTGTGCCAGCGTCCAGAAGTAGAGTGTAAGCGAAAGTATGACTATAGCAGACAGTGGAGGCGTCACGAAATTGCGGCGCGTGCAAGCGCACCGAACTGCATTATTCTGTGCCTTAGTAGTTATACGGTGCGGTTCACACTTTCGTTAGGCCTAATAATCGTCTGCTACACTCCTACTTCTCTACTCCTAGACCCAGGTAGAAATTAGCGTTTGCTAGATCGGTATTTATACTCTTCTATTCGCTAGCGCTGGCGGACGTTTGACACGCTGGCGGTCGCTGGTGGACGCTGCCACAAAGTATGCCATACTCTCTCAAAACACAAGCGGCCGGCGCTGATCGATTCCCATCCGTGGCTGCGCTCCTGTCTATACCATTGGAGCGGTGTTGCAATTGTAGCGCGCTCGACGCGCGCCCCAGCGCGGCATCGCGGAGCCCGAACGCCACCTAAGGAACGAAACAAATTGATGATCGGACCCAGGGTTTGACGCGCCACTCAATGAGTGGAAACTTTCCAATATTCAAAGAAGTACGAGCTACAAGTAACCTGGCATAATTTTCACTCAGCCAACTTAAGCAAGGGAATGACACACTGGAAAGTTCGGCTCACTGAATTGGATTCAAAGCATGCAGATCGTGCATTAAAAACATGCGGAATGAATATGTGCGGTATGGTGCAGTACGCCATAAATCGTTACCTTCTTCTTCGACTGAATGAGGAGGTCTTTATAGATGTCAGAACGGAGAAAACGCTGATAACTATCATTCTTCATTAGGCAGAATATGTGGTCCTAAAACCTTCTTTTTAACAGAAACGCAACATGTTACAATTGTGGGTAGGAAACGAACCGCAGCTTCGTCAAAACTCCATCGATTGGGATTTTTCAAATTCTCCTCCGTTATCTCCATTACCTTGAAAGTACCAACTTATTCACATGACAGAAGAAAGACAGTAGAAGTAACGACAGTTTGCACTCTGAACGCGTTCTTACTACGTTTCGGCGGCAGCGTCTGTCAGCATTTTCAGCGACTAAGGAAGTATGGGTATGGATTGCCATACAAAACGCTCGAAAGCTGGATCGATACCTATATTTTCTTGGTCGCTCAAGATGCTGGAAAACGCAGCCACGAAGTGTGAACGCACTCTGTGGAGAAACATTTCAATTATAGTATATTCAGCACCTTGCAATCCACATTAACAGGCGATGTTGCATTCGAATCAATAAACTCGTTATAGATCTCAGTCACAAGTACAGGAACCATCCTACAGCTGCATTTCCGCAATTTTTGGACCTGGACGAAAACATTCAGAACGGTAGACGCTTTTGAAAAATAAGAAGTTGATATATAACCTAAACGCACCTCCCACCAAAAGCGAAGGTTTTCGCCTGAATACTCTTTGTCAAGGAACTTTTGTAAAGTTTCCCTTCCCAGTAAATCGGCAAGCAGTTCCTCAAAGCATTCCTCCCATAACTTCAAACGTCGAGTAGAAATATCGCCAGTTCTGAAGGACAAAATGCTTTGTCGAAAAAAAGGTGTAAAGTCGAACTTATATACGAATAAAAGCTGAGTAACCGAAAACCCACATCTTGTCATGCTGCCAAAAATCGACAGTATCGCTGATCCATGGATTAGGTTGGCTTTGAAAAGGATCAGATACAGATCCCAAAGGAGTGAGGAATGGATCAAATACTCGGCGATGTTCGTGGTAGGCTAAGTAGCTGAAAGAGGGAACCCTTTCATTTTGCCACAATTTTAACTACATTAACAATATTCTCGTTTTAATCACAATTGACCAATTTTCTGGCAGCTTCCTTACAATTAACTTACGGAGACCACACGTTGCTTCCTCAGTTTACTAAAGAACATTGTCGCTGGCCGGGGAGGGACATTCTAAACTTTCGCAAGTTTCCTGGGAGTTCAGGTTAGTTAGTGAACAGATATCACTTTGGTGTGACCTGCAACTGTTGTGAAGCTAGAAATGGTAAAAGTGGGCCACTTTTTTACAAGAATGCACCACATCTTCACGAGGTGGCCTGTACAGACCCTGCTAAGTACATCTGTTGCCCCCACCAAGCCAAATTGCGCCATCACAGTGCATAGGTATGAAAGGAAATACGCGGTAGATGGAAGCAAAGCTGTCACAGCTGTTACTCCCATCGATCAACCCCTCGTCCGTTTCGAGTGACGAAAGTGGTGTACTCTCTGCGAAAGCGGACAACGATGACACATGCACGGAGAGAGGAGGCGTCTCAGGGTGTCAACCGGGAAGTCTCTCTTCTCTTTCCTTTTTTCTTCCCCGTTCCTTCTTTTCCTTCCTTCCTTTTCTGGTCCCTCCTCCTTTCCCTTCTCCCTTCAGCTACTGGTTTGGTTGACGCATCGATAAAATACCCCTGGACCCTCGCAGCGACTGCAAACATGTGCCCCGCAACCAAAAACTGTAACAACAACTTACTTTTCTACAACTTTGGACGTCCGCAATACATTTTTCGATAACCGATTATTGAGCTGATTAATCTGAAAAAAGAGAGAAGCTAGAATCTGAAAAAAGAGAGAAGCTAGAAACTCAAAACTAAAACAAAAGAGTGTCAAAAAGCATTGAGTATGTGATGAAGTCTCTGTTTGTCAGTCCCGACGACTATGTGATGGAGCACCCTAGCATTTGAGTCAGTGGTTGCAGCAAAGTCATTCACGAAGTCGCCACGACAGCAGTCACCCAGTATCTCGGGGCTTACGTCATGATTGACACTCTTTTTGTACAACTGAAGTTCTACACGTACTTCTAGTTTCAAGGTATCTTGGACTTGTGTACATCTTCTTAAACCGGGCCTCGTATAGTAGTTGTTTCGAAAGGATCCTCCACTTCCACTTGTCGAAGCGCTTGCACTGCAACAGTGGAAATTAGGTAAAGCTCAACTCGAACATCTCGAATTTTATATTCGCAATGAATGCTAAATATGACATTCGGTGCATTCGGAAACTGCGCCCTCAGATGTGCTGAACTACATCCCCTCGGATATGCTGAACTACATCCAACGATCTGCGCGCCCTAACCGTAGTGAAGATGTGTGAAAGATAGTAATACGAAGCCGCCTGATACGTAAATAAAAGAAAAATTGTCCAGTTCCCTGGATCTTAGAAATTTCATTAAAAGCATTGTGAGATGGGCAAAAAGGCAGCATACAGGCCGATCATGCGGAAATCAGAGATGAAGAGAAAACGTTCCGTACATAAAAAGGACTAACTCCCAAGGGACTCGACAAATTAATCTCCACATTGGGTGAATAGTGCTCAGACTCAGATTTTGTTGAGGTACAGATTCCGAAGTGATTTCGATGGTTCGATAATCGCAAGAAGGTTTCATTCCTTGCAAGAATGACGGCCTCGGTAAGAACTGAACAGCGCATTATATAAGACTGAACTGTCGTACCTATGTAACTTGCCCTGTCTTATGCTCAACTGCGCCATGAGCTGTTCATCTTACTAAAATGCGTTCATACTTCGCGATCCGATTGTATTGATCGCATGGCCGCACCGCTCAGGCGTTCGAATCGCTCTATCCAAGCGAACGGATCGCGAGGTGTGAAGGGCTCTAAGGGTTCATGCAGTATGTGCTTATCTGGGGTTGACCCACTCCCGTTACATTCCATTTGAAGGAGTATGTCATAACAAGCGAAACCGAACCTGGCCTGAGACGTCTGCTGGGTTGCCGCTGGTGCTCCATTCGAAGTCGAGGGTAAACTAGCATGCGCAGCCGCAGCACTGGTTGAATATGGACTGCAACCAGAAGAAGCAGCCGCATTTAGAGCCGCGTGTCCACCAGAGCTGTACTTCGGCCGTCCTGAGCGAGACAACTTCCGAAAGTCAACCTAAACAGAAGAGCGATTAGCTTGCAACCTCATCCTTATCACCTATTTATCATGTTGATAGCACAGTGAGCTCAAAATAGGCTTTTCAGGTATGATAAAGCGAAAGTTCATCTTTGTTTTTTATCGAGTAAGATCACAAAACATTTGCTTACGTTTTCGCTCACCATTTACCCTCACAACAGTGGGGAACTAACTGTAAGACCTGTGATCAAACTTCCATGAAACCTCCGCAGAACCGCGGAACGTTTGCATGCAGTCCTGCAATCTTTGCTCCTTACTAGGGAAGGTCTCAGGTCGAAGTGGCCATCTGTAATGAGATATAGCTCTCTAGATGTGGTTTTGGACGCTGATCTTGAATCTGCCTTCGAAATTTGCAAAGCTATTCTGTGGAAGGAATTATGAGGTTTCTTAGAATTTAGGTGAAGAAAACAGAGTCGAGCGCGGTTACCAGCCAATTCTCATGAATAGCCTGGTAGCATCCTCACGTTAAACGGCGGCATGGTGTAGTGGTAATGGCTCTGCTTCGCAGGCATGCCGAAGATTTCGAATTTCTGGAAGGGAAGTTCTTCTGCATTTTGTGTGTATTCCCTTTTAAGTCTAGAAAACACTTAAACGCCAAATGGGTGCCATATTCGTGTTCAGAGAGCAAAACTACCCTTGGGGACAGGTTTCTAGTCTGATTCTCTTGTCGATTGCTTGTCTTCGGACAGAATTTGCTTTTAGATACCAGGAACACTGGAGCAGTAACAGTATAAAAGCGTAAGAAGTGGCAAGACTAGGCCTTGTGCAGGAGAATGTATCTGCAGCTGAATGGGTGTGAACATCAACTGAACTAACCCATGGATGCTTCACTTTTCGAAGCTAGGTCAAAATGCCAGATTTGGCTAGAAACCTCTACCTAGGCGTAGTTCACCCCCATAAATGCTAATATGGCACTCGTTCAGCGCGAAAACGCCTGCACTGTGCGCCAAGGGCACCTGTACATCCAAAAATTCTCCTAGATCATTAGGCACTAAGCGCGTCAGTAAGCGAACGCAAACTGTTTTTCAGACGAGTCAAGGAATGAGTTATTGTAGTAGTGACGCCACAGCCACTTGTTGCCAGTTTGCGCGAGAAGCAAAAAAGTTAAGCTCAGCAGGGATCCGATCCCATGAACTGTTGCGTGGTAAACGCGGAGGGAAAAGCCCTCCGTTCAGGGAATTGCTTTGCAAATTTCAAATTCGAGATCAGCGTCAACCACGTCTGGGGAGCGACATCTCATTACAAATGGCCACTTCGACCTGACGACCTTCCCTAGTTAGTTCATTTTCCAAATATACCAAAAGCCGTGCGTATTTCCTGTCTTTCTCTTCTACTTTCAATTCACTGGGCCTATCAAAACCTCGTCGCACATTATTGTCCTTTTTTTATAGCATTCCTAGCCAGAATCCATCCATCACCCGACCTCCCAAGAATTAAAAATCTTCAGACCCAGGCTTCATCTCCATTTTTTCAGTTTTAGTCGTTTGAACAGAATTTTCTCTTGTCTGTGCACTATCAGTGACTACTGCACTCTTCGCTGTTGATTCTTTCCGACTTTTTACTTGTCCCTTTCTGACTTTTTCCTGGTCAATGCCCTTTTTCTTCGAACTAACAGAGAGTCATTGATCATGGGAGAAAAAGCTTAGTGTATGGAAAAGAACTGTATCACTACTTCTGAGTCAGAATAAGTCGTTTATCCTTGCCCTATGTAACATTTTTATGATGTAAACATCTTCCGGTATGGAGGTTCCTTCTTCAGTTGCGCTAGAGGTGGGAAACAACATATATGATGTGACGTTTTAATTTCCACCCTCTTTGGAGCCTGAGTGGATGGAAATCTATTCATAGCCTATCCGACCAATCATCTCGCTTCATCCTGGAGAGATACCACCGCCTCCAACCGGTTATAGTAAAAGACAGGACGTAAGATATTTTTTTACTATTGTTTAACCTAGAACATTCCAAGGACATCTCCAAGCATAGTATGAAGGGCTGAGTCAAAAGTTTCCATATCCCGTCACATATAAATTCAGTAATATAAGTTCCTCGGAGCTTCCCGCTGCACGCAAATGAGCAACAAACTCGGAACTCGGAACAGCGACGGTTCAAGACTAGGGACGCAACCACATTTGCCGATGTTTTGAAGACCAGATGGCCGGGCACGATATGCGATATGAAGACGAGCCCTGAACCGCAGCGATTCCATGGAATGTCAAGCGAACACCTGGAGGACCGCCTACGTGATGGTCACACTTTTACGTCAGAATCGTGAACAAATGGCAGACTGTAACAAGAGGTGAAGTTCTTCCTACTTGAACACAAAACACATGCCTAGTCAAACCTAAAGAAATCAGCAAGCCTTCAACCTATACATACCTCAGTAGTGTTCACACATCCTGGAACTGGTCGATGTACGTCCCAGAAAGCTCTTTCTTGGCTGTCTAGAATTTGCCGTTCCAGTCGATCTCTCTTCTTATCAACCCTGAAAAAGAAGGAATGATAGTGTCGAACCAATTACGTGCATTACTTTCGAACAACTTACTTATACTGTGCTTCAGCCTGCATGAACACAAACTCCCACTTTCGGCTAAACATCTTCTGGAGCTTCGCTAAATTTTCGGCTTCAAAATCCTCCAACTCCAAATGCGCCTTGTTCTGCATTGTTCGCTTGCACAAATAGACCGCTGCAAGAATCTTTCGATAAAACACAAACCGCAACCGAACACAGCCAAGTGGTTGATCATGCATCTATATCCCAGACTGGAGTGCGCGTGGCGGCGTACCTGCTCCGCAATGCCGTAGGGTGCGTTTTTCGTCTTTTTTTCTGGGCGAAAGCGTGAACACACTTATCACGAATTGAAAATTTCCCTGGAACGCAGCCGCCGCCACGATCAAATAAACTACGCAGCCACGTCCGCCTCATCTCCGCGATATGGAGTGCAGAGTGCGCCTGATGTCACGGTCATAGTGAAATGATCATACCGTAATCAGTGTTTTCGGGTTCCCAGCAATTAGACGGCCAGAAGTAAGGAGTTTGAAACCGATAGAACGTCCCATCGTTTTTCACCGTAAGAACATGATCGTCTATTTGAAAAAGGTAACCGTGCGATGCGATGAGATGTGCAAGATGGAGAGCATCGGCTAGAAAAAAATGTATAATGCTATACTTCGTATACTTCGAATTACTCTGATTAGACATTCAAATGACTAAACTTACAAAGGTCGGACATATCCAAGCTCTTCATAATCCATGCTATGAGATCCTGACCCGTGAAGACGGATGGCACCTTAGAGAGGAAGCTTTTGACGGTCTTGATTGGAACACCGGATTCTGCGTCAAGCATATGATTCACGAGCGCTTCCATCTTCTGATAAACCATGTGGTTCGGATGAACCAGCTTTTCCTCCAAGTTGGCATTAACCCTGAAAAAAGTTTAAGGTAACAGCAAAGGAATCGTCACCACACAAAAAGGGAAAAAAATTAACATCTCAAATAAACTCTGACAAAATCTCCCAGCGATGGCAGAGAAGAGCTGTAAAGACGCGTTCATACTTTACGATCCGGTCGTGCAATCTAACCGTCAACGGATCTGATCGCGCAATCCAATCATTTGGATCACGAAGTATAAACGCGCTCTATCAGAGATTCTCAAGCTTCATTGCGTACAAAGATTCTGTCGGTTTCGATGAAACAACTCCCAGTTCCATTTACGACGTTTTGGATTTGAGCTGGTTTTTGTTCAGCCTCCTGGGACTCCTTGTGTGTTACGGCTCAGACGTGATGAACCACGAACGCTGCTCTTGAAAAAATGCCTCGGGGCAAACAGCACTTCATACCGCCAGCTGACCTATTATATCTCTTAGCTATTCAACCTGTTCTCGACAATAAGCCACTGGCTTATCGGAAGTCTATTTAAGTCCCCTCCGTCTGAAAACCATTAGGTTGTTAAATCTTATCCAGACACCAATAGACGATCATCACACTTACGATCTTTTAAGCTGTCGTCAAATATGAATTCGAGCAAATGGTGGTGGAGGCTTGCTTTTTTCACGGTTCTCAAAATGCAGAAAGGAAACAACTCAGTTTTGCAAAAAAAATAATATCCCTGAAACAGCCGCACACAGCTGAAAGCATGGTTACTACGAGGTTTGTGTGAGGAGTACATAGTTAACGTGTACGTAGTTCAACAACAACCGCCCACACCACGTGTGGGCACCTCTGTCACACAACCGCGAGAATTCCGTTGAGAATAGCGGCCCGGTTCGGCAACGGGAGAGGGGTGGGGTGACACTTCGCACTTCAGCTGCTTCCCACTATAGTGTTCATTGCTTTACGAGAGTTGACAGGTAGCTTCTACAAACTTTAACCGGTATCACCTCATGGCTCCGCAAGATTTCACAATTCTCTGCTTTATGGCTCGACACGACTAAAGTAAGCAGCGAAAGTGCTAAATTCCACCTTTCCCTCTCCCTTCGCCGCCAAGCTGCGCCAAATAGTTAGTGTATGAAGGAGTAAAAACGCCTACCCGATAAACCATGGATTGTGGCACAGATTTTCCGGCTAAACACGGGACCATTCAACTAACCATAGTAACTGGAGGGGGGGGGGGTGCATTCAACACCTTTGTTGCTTTTCACTGCCGTGTGATTTGTGAAGCAGGGATGCCATGAAGAAATACCAGTCAAAGTTGTGGATCTATTTGCCCTCTCTTGGTAAAGCAATGACACACGCAGCAGGAAACAGGGGCAAATACCCCCCCCCCACCGCTGAGGCTGTGACAAAGGCTGTCGGAAAAAAGCTGCTCCTCCAGAAAGCCACCACTTCAAATTCAGCTTGTGTTCAAGCTCACCACGCAAAATCGCATTATTCCGCTTGAGATACGACCAACTACTCGAGTAATTGCAAGAGGAACCCAGGGCATGGGCTGCTGGATGCAATGGCACCATTTGCGCACGCCTTTCGATACGCCAATTCTTGACGCGCACGCCTACTTTTAAATGTTTCGCCGAGCACTGTTTTCTTTGTTGATGGCGCCGGCAAAGGAGGGAAGACACCTTTGCATCGCATCTTTTGCAGGTAGCATCACATACCATTTCTTCGAATGACCTTTCCCTGTTGAACGACTTATCGTACCTTCATTAAATTCATATCATTCATACAAAATTCATAATTCATTCATACAAATAGTGATCCAATGAGATCAGCAGTAATAAGGATCCTACGACTCGCCTAGCGGCACCAGTAGCCCAGAACGTCTAACAAATTGGTTTGCTGTAACATTTCCTATAGGACTCCTCAGTGGTGATCAGGAGGAATATGGTATCCAGCCAGCGCCGGCAATATGACCCCAACGCGTCAGTCTGACGTTACCCACAGGAGCCAAGATTGGGCCAGCATTTCGGCGCAGACGCCAAAAATGTATGTGATATGTGGCAAACGCACATGCAAGTCTACGCATTTCGTGGAAAAGATGAGAGCCCCAATTAGCACACTGTAGCGCCAAGTGACGCCGGCGGCTGAATCGGATGTCGTATTACAGTCAGAGCTTAAAATGGCATGCGAGTTATTTTAGATTCGGCGATGATAACGGCGACAGCTCCAAATTCCTGGTGTACTTTCCCAACTAAGCGGCACATCCTTTTTCATGATCTTGCATAGTAGGATTGTTTGATGCCGCGATCACGAATATGACATTCGTTTTTCCGACGAAAGCGACACTTATGGTTAGTGATATTTAAGCTTGAGCCTGGGTGCACAGCGCGAATCAACGTAGACTGTGTCCTCCATCAGCCACAGCGTCAATGAATGCCATATTCGCAATCAAGGTTTCCCCTGGTACAAGTTTTCACAGATTTGTCTATGGCATCTTGGCCAAGGCGGCTGTGGCGCAGGCGCCAGACAGCTTCACGCTTAGCGGATGTAAAATTCGCGCTCAGAAGTCCTAACTACCTCTGCGGCCGAGTTTTCAACCAAATCTGCCTCGACAGAAAAAAGTCGTTCAAAAGATGGGCTTCTCAGAAGATAGGGGTAGTAATATTTGAATGGTGCCGCATATAGAACTGAGTGACGAGAAGCTTTCATCGGTCTCATGACTGGAAATTCTACGTGATGCTACAAGTAGAACAAAGTATTTCCTTGCTTCTTTAGCGGCGCTCACAACAACTCGCGAAACATTAAAAGTAGGCGTGAGGTACGTAAGGTTTACGGTAGCCAAACAGCGCGCAAGTGGTGTAATTGCATCCAGCAGCCCATGCCCTGGGTCCCTCTTGCATTACTCCAACTACTCAACTTTTCACATTGGAAATTACTTCGAAAAACGAAATATTGATCACCGCAAATCAAGACCTTAGGTGACCACCTCATACTATAGAAGGAGAAAACGAAGCCGAAAATTTCTCACCTCAACCTCGGTAGGGCCATTTCCGCTCAGTGTAGATGTTCCAACTGCTATTCCATGTCTAAGGTGTATCTTAAAACGATGTATGAAACAAAAAAAAAATTGGTCGAAAAAAGAAATTAAAACAGCGTGCACTTCCAGTAACGTCAAAAATCTGAAAATAAAAATGAAAAAGAAATTATACGCCCAGATTATGGTTTTCCAGATCAAAGCTCTAGAAAACCGCAACAAACTGACATGACGTCAAAATTGTGCGGAAATTTATCAATGAAGCTAGTGAACAAGCTTTGAAATGTGATTATTTTGTGTTTTTCCTGACAGCCGGTTCTATCAAAGTTCGTGGCAGCAATTATTATACGGACTAGGGGAACTCGCACTTATCGTGTCATGACGCATTCTATAACAATAACATGTACTCACACATCTGTCAATGCAATACGTTGTCAAATGACCTGTGCTAACAAGTAAAAGACTGTTCACACGCCCTGTCGCGGGGAAAAATTCTACGAAACGAGCTCGCCCTCCTCCCCCCATTTCCTCATTCAGAACTACCCCCTCCCGACCATATCACTGGTCTTTTCCAACTTCTAGCCACTTTTTTCAACATTTCCAAAAAGTCTCCAGTCCTGCCCCCAAAAAAACTGCCGCCTTGCAGCGAAAACCACGAGGAGTCAACGACCGTAGAAAAGATCACACGAACGGAAAAAAATCTTCCAGGGCCAGCTACGCCGCTTCCCGGATGTCACCCAACGATGTGTACAACGCGCGTCAAAAAGGAAAAATAGACAATCAGAAAAAGTTTCTGAGGTCAAGTACGTTTCCCATATGGAGATTTTGTCAGCGTACATGGGCACTGACCGCCCACAGACAATATACGAATGCTGCCACAAATTGCGACAGCACCCTGTTGCTCGCCTAAATTCGTGCGATTTTCCACTTGATGATTAATTGTTAAGTACAAGAGTGAAGAAACTGGCGTCTTGATTCGCCACCAGGTCTGATAGTTCGGTAAGGGGGGAGGAGGGGGGAGGGGGCGAGGAAACTTGCAAAGTTGAAGGATATGGTACAGTGATCGGAGGCAAGTAGTTTAAGCAATTCATCAAAAAAAAAATGCCCTATTCCGGGCAATTGCCATCTGAGGCCCCGTTTATTGAGTTCATATCCCGGAGACGAGAAGGGCGTGGCTGCGTACTTCATTTGGGCACAATGCCTTGCCCTCCGCTGGCAAAAAAAAAATGTCCCAAACAAGAATCTCAGTAAAGCGCAGCTGCTTTAGTACGCAGTCAACGCCCTCTCCATCTGCGAAATACGGGAACTACCTCGCGACAGTAAAGAATTGACGAATTGTGGGATTAGAAGAATTGACAAATGAGCGGAAAGGACTAGAGGGTATCGATCTGAAGAATGAGACATAATGACCACTTGGAGAACTGCGATATTGGGAGAATCGACAAATCGCGGAATGAGAAAAATCGAAATCGACGAATAGAAGGATCGATCAATAGCGAAAATTGGCTGGCACGAATACATTACCCTTCACGTTTTCTTCAACTACTTACTGCCACGAAGTACGAACGCGGCCTGAATTGGTTTGAGCACGGTAAGACGATTCTCAGGAATTTTTCAATCCGGACCCAACAGCGACTTTTTAACAGATTTGAAAACGGGAGGATGGTTGGCAGAAACTTTCAACCCCCCTCTAGTTTGAAGGGACCCCACCCCCATTTTAAGGCTTTAGTTAGTAATTAGTTAGACGTTCGCGGTCGCACATAAAATCGTTGTCCGCGAGCTTTTTTGCCAATCTAATAAATATCGTAAGGAAGACTCAAGAGGCCGTAAATATCTTGAAAAAGATCCCAATAACTAGTAATCAAAGCCCCCCTCGCAAGTGACCAGTGCAGAATACTGCCACAAACAAACCCTTGGCTCATTATCGCGAAGCGGTTTTTCATTCGAAACAGTGGTATGTTGCACAAAACATT